ATACTAAGCTGGGGGGGGCAAGACCACGTGCGCCCACGTGGGGGCACGTTGCTGATGTATTGCGAGGTGACTGATCTGCGTAGCCTTGTCATTTTGCGTGGGGGGCTGCGCCTTTGTCGTGCTCTGGTTTGGAAAGATGCCTTCAGCATCTCGGCAATTCCAACCACTATAGTCCAAATCCTTTTGGATTCCTCCTGCCGACACTCTCCGATCTTCGGAAACTAGACCGGGTGATCTTCGAGGGTTGGTTTGGCTAACTTCGGAGGATGAATTTAGGCGATGGAGTAGTTTGACCGGTACACTAATCCGAAGTGTACCGGTCAACTAGTCTGGTCTACCAACCATCCCTCCGCTGACGACTCAGATCTCCCTTTCAAGTTTGACTTCTTTGACCGGTCAATTTTCGGATTCGGACCCTTGACCGGTCATGGGTGAAATACACCCATCACATTTAATTAAACATCCAAACATTTCAATTAAAACTTAAATGTTTATCGGAGTTAGTTCAAAACAGAGCAGAAGCAAAACTGTTATTTTAAATAAACATCTTGAATAGATCATTATCAGAAAACGAGTTACATTACAACCATCATATCTGTTAACGGTTTGAGTCCCGCATCCGTAAATCTCCTTCATCTCTGTGCCCTCCAAGAATAGCTTGTTATTATCTACGTGTAGAAAGATGGAACAAACTACACGCTCAGTGATAAGCTGAGTGAGAAATATCTAATAGTTCGAATGTACACTTAGGCAAAACCATTAATTCACAATTATCACATGATATCATGCACACAACATGATAGGCAACAATCATACGGCATATGAGATATAACATGCATAGTCAACCTTTATTTTTGCACATCATGCACACGGGTATAGTAATATTTAATATTCGAAACATCTTACGATATTCATATTCATTTATCTAAATCACATTCTTAACCTATGATGGCTAAGGCAATTCATATACCTATGAGTCATGGCACCCCAAGCGATACTATAAAAGGGCCAGCTCTAGAAAACCCAAAGGAGATTCACTCTGGGCGGGTTAAAGCCCCAGTCTCTGCGATGCCAAGACAGTTCAAGGACTTCCGTACGTACGTTTTTAACCCAAGACCACCGGGTGTGCGATGACGCCCCGCAATGGCCTAAACTCTAGACTTATCTTATTGGTGATCCAATCAGTCAATCCAATTCCGGTCCGCCTAATTAAACTAGGTGGCCTATTCCCAATATTATTCACAATTCACAATAATCACCAATAAGATTAATTTAGTTCAAATCTCAATTCATTATTAACCAAAATATCAAATAGCAACCTATCAGAACCAAAGGCCCATGATTACCGTCATGCTCACATGGAGTCTCGGAATCAATCCTAGATAGAGACACAGATCAACAGAGCATCAACCAATAACAATTCTCATAACAACAAACACCAATAGGTTCATATTAATGTCCTAAACATTATCAAGCACCTTAACTAGACAATCAGTGCCTAAGTCATTCATACTATCCTTTTCAATTCAATGACAACAATTCCCAAAACCACAATCAACATTTATAAGGATAAATCAAATAGATCAACCACGATAATAATTATGAATAGAATTTCAAACCTAGATGCATATAGGGTTAGATGTCCACGTATTCACCTTGATTCATTCAATTGGATTCCAAAAAGGGTGTCACCCGAGCGATGTCATCGAAACGAAAGTCATACCCCGCTTCTAGGACTTGCCGCTGCTGTCCGAATGTCAACCGCCACTGCCCGGAGGTCAGTCAACGCTGCTCGGACCAACAGAGCTAACCTGTCATTGCCCAGTCAATCCCGCCGCTACCCAAATTGAGTCCGGAGCTCAACTTCTCCTGCCCTGGTCCCGCATCCACTCTCGCCGCCGCTGGAAGTCGACGAAGATCCGAGGGGATGGCCGGAGCTGCCCAAACCTCGCCACTGTTTCGCCGGGATAGAGATCGTCGCCGGAATTGCTGGAATCTCCGGAACGAGGGTCGCTGGATAGGGGAGGTCACTGGCGGAATTCGTCGCCGTCGATTCGCCTCGCGACGTCGCCCTTCCCCATCGCCGCTGGACTCATCGCCGACGAGAAGAAGTCACGCCGTTCGTCACCGTAACACGGTCGTCGTCGCCCCTGTAGACCATCGTCGCTGCTGTGTCTGGTCGGAATAGAGAAGGAATCTCCTGGCGGCGTAGTGGACTTGTCGTAGTCGCCGATCTCAGTGTCTCCTCGCTGCCTGCGGTGTGCGATCGAAAGGAGAGTGGCGGCGGTAGTTTCGATCAAGAAGAAGGAACACGGATAGGTGAGAAAAAATCATTTATATCCCCCTATGGTTTGGTATCCGTAATTTAAAATAACATAATTGAGTAAAAACACACTTTTCGAGTCAATTTGCTCCGAATTGAGATCTGTTTGCATCGTTGGATTTGATTCGTCGATCTCTACCCAACTATATAACTTTTATAATCATTCGACAAGTATTGATAAGTTCCACCTGCTCCGTCTTAATTCTTTCAATTAATTAATACGAATTGATCTTTTAATTCAAATCTTTACAAATATACTCAGATTAGTTTCGTTATATTGACGATTAGAATCTCTAAAATATATTTTAATTCTTTAAAAGAATAGGTTCTCGTAAATAAATAATTTTTGTTTATTTAATTATTGATTATATTCTAGCCCGGTTTCTAGGGTGTTACATACAAATATTTTTGTTGAGTGCTAAATATATTGTCATCCATAGAGCTTTCATATTTCAAACACTACTTGCTCAATTGTGTGAGCTTTCATTCTTGTGTTGTAAAACTTAATCTTGTTTGAGTTGTTGCTAAGACTTATGTGATTCAAGTCTTGTTGATTGTTGTTAAGACTTGTGTGACTCAAGTCTTGATGTAAGAAGCTGAGGCTTGTGTGATTCAAGTTCTTGAGTTGTATCAGTTTTTCAAGCATTCGTTGAAGCTTGAAGATTAGTCGGACCTTTGAGAGAGTCTCTCGGAGGACTGGACTAGCCACGAGGTGGTGAGCCAGTATAAATCACGGTGTACTTCTTCCCTTGCTATTTACGTTATTCCTGCGATTTTTATTCCGTTATCACATGCGTGAAAAACGAACATTCTAGTAAACAACTCTAT